TAACCAAACCAGGAACTCATCCAACTCAAACCAAACAAAATCAGAACAAAACCAAGCAGATCAAAAAAATGCCATGGAAAATTTGTTACCTTTTTGTTAAACTTCCCCTTCCCTGTGCTCTCAGTTGGACATTCCTGTCATTTGCCCTGGGCCAGTTCTGGCACACCCTCATTGCACGGCAAGCTGAACCAATTCAATAAAATGCAGGGGGAAATAAAAAGAATTTATTTTTTCTGAACTGAGCTGAATTGGCTGGTATTTCAATCAGACAAGAAACATATCTGGTATAATGCAGGATGGCAGGAGCAGGGAAACTGAGGAGGAGGAACTGGGAAGGGTGATGAGACAGGATAACACCTAAGGATGAGATGGTGACAAATTGTTAATTCAGCTCAGCTATATCATGAAACTATACCCTCAGTATCTTGAGAAATCTAAACCCATTTTCTTATGAATAAAGTTGCCTTGGATCACAAAGCCAAGTGAAACACCTGACTCCATTTTGCCATCTATGAAATGGGGATAATAGGCATCTATATCATCTAGACTTATTTAACCCAAATACATCTTTACAAAAGGATGCTTCATGAGCACAGGCAAGTGTTAAAATAAAAAAAACAGACCCATAAAATCAAAGCAAATAACCCTCAACCAGAAAGCAAAGTCCCTACTCCCTAGACAAACTGAAATACTTTCAACTGATGAATTATTCATTTTGTTTAGAGCAGAATTTACAGTTATTTTAATTTAATCTTTAGATAAAACATATACTTAAAAAACAATACTCAACTCCCCCCTCCTCTGCCCCCCCCATCTGTAACAGCACTCGACAAAAGTGCCTTAAAATGGGTATACAGTCATTGATTCTGCTGCCAATCTTAGATGTTTTTTGCCTGAAAAAGAAGATAAACCTCAACTCCAACATACGATTAGAGGAGAAGCACAAATCACTTAAAAAAAAAAAAAAAAAAGATAGACAAGACAACACAGCTTCATTAAAAAACAGAAAACCCTAAGGGAATTTTCAACTTCGTAGTTCTAATGAGGGGGGTTGAAAAGAAGTAGTAAAGCAGAGGAAAGAAAAAAAAAATTATCTTTGGGACAAGACGTAACAAAAAAGAACACGAAACTGAACCAGAAATAGACTTTCAAGTTTAACCTCAGGTTTTCACAGAAAGGACTATTGTAGTCTTAGCTCTGTTCCCAAAGGAGGGTAAGCCACACGACAACATCACCACACACAAAACTCAGCATATTTCATGAGCAGGAGGCTCAAGAAGAGAACAGGTCAAGGTTGATATCACTAGCACAGCAGCGAGAGGGAGCTTGCACTGCAGTTGTCTGAACCACACCTAGTCTGCAGTTAAATATAGAACTTTACTTTCTGGAACTATTGCTCCTCTTAACCTTCAGAGCATAAATATTTGGAGAGATATTTAAAAAAAATAGAAAGGAGAGGGGAAGAAGGAGACCTGAATCTATTGTCCAAAATCTAAGCCTAGCGACTAATAAACTACCCTGGGAGAATTTCCAAAAAAGCAGTAAAGACTGGAGAATTGAATTACAGAAACCACAAGCAGCATTCTGGAAATCCAGTATAAACCAATTAGTTTCTTTAATACACATACCCGGTATGCAGACACTTATGTACATTAGACTTTTAAGTATATGTGCTGGCCCTAACTTTAATCTTAATTATATCAGGTTGGCACCAATATAATAATTAATTGTACTGGAATTCTTGTTGATTTAAATCTTTTATAAAAGAGAAACGAGCCCTTCAACCCTCACCCTTCTCATTCAGTTCATGGGCCATATCCTGACCAGTGTCATGCATTTTCAGTTGGAGAGCCTGCTGCTAGAAGCAAATCTCTCTAATTTTTTCAATTAAATTCAGATTCTTTCCTTGAAGTGCTCTCAGCTGGTTTGACACATCAACTTTTAGCAACTGCATTTCTTACCAACTGAGTCCAAGTCAAAAGCACATACCACAATTAACTGATAGAGCAGCCCAAGACTTTGATCCTCACCCAAAAAATGTTTATAGAGCTTCGCAGCAAAGTTTCACAAGTTTATAGGAAGTAGTAGTTCTGCATTATCTACACAAGAGTTTCCATTAAGGTCTAGATGCAACCCTCTTATCTTCAGGCATTTAACTAAATCACCAAAGTTGGGTCTAACTGCAGAAGGCTCCTCTTGTAGCCAGAGAGAAAGGTGCATATAGCCCTCATACGACTTGCACTAGTGGGACAGAACTGTCTTCTGGATCCGTATTTCTCATTGCTGAATAGCTAGAAGCCTAGATGAACAAGCACTTTACTGAGGTTCCCAAACACAAAGCTCAAAACTAGGTGCCTAAATCCCTGTGTGCACCAACAGCACATCAAGATGCTGCAGGACATACAAATGCAATGCAATGAAACTTGTGTTTAAGGAAAACAGTCCATTAAACTGAGGAAGATGCCTCCACTCACAGTCAAAATCCTTCAGACATAAATGAAAATTCCAAATAAATGGCACCAGACCACATGCAATGCCAAACACCATTTTAGTGGGCCAAATGCTTATTCCTGACCCTATGGCACCAAAGTGAACCTGATCTGTTTGGGCCAGACAGCCAGGAGTCTGGTTACCTTCATCCTGGCTGCTGTTATGAGTCATATTACAGACAAGCCTGGAAGACTCCAGTGACTTGTAAGTGAAATTAGTTAGCTTCTTCCTAGGGCTCCCAAGAGAGTGGTTTTCTCCCACTCTTTCAAAACTTGTCACATAAAACAACTCATCCTTACAGCTCAACTAGGCCTATTAAAGTGTAACAGTTAACCATATTCCCAAACTTGCTTTATGGTGTAGTTTCATTGTCATACAAAGCTTTTACTACGGCTCGAGTTAACTGTGTTCTTGCCTCAGATAAAACTCCTCAGCCATGCTTCCCAGTACCCACACACAAGGCTCTGAAATTCAGTGCTCGCGGTGACCTAGCAAGGGCTTTGCAAAATAATATTAAAGGCAGCGTGAAGGCAATGTTGCCGAAGTCTCCATTAAACAGCAGAATAAGAAGAAAACCCCAGCAGCAAAGACCTTACAGAGCACAAGACACAGCAAACAAAACCAAGAATAACAAAGAAGAAGAAATAGGGTAATGAAAAATCAGATCAAGTGATTATGTATCTGCATACACAACTGGATGATTTCCAGAGTCAGCACCAACTTGCCTCTTTCCATATACAGAACCTAATCTCACACCTTTCTAACAGACACATACCAAACCATTACAGGTTGTCTGACTTCTTGAGAGTGTCACAGCAGATACTGACTTTAGGAGAGATCTGAAGGAGGAGAGGGTAGAGCTTCCTTGCTTAGCTTTCTCTTACTGCTCTGTGTTTCCACAGCACCTAGCACAAAGGAGTCTAAGGCACTATCATGATTCAAACAGCAAATAATAGTAGTTATCGCACTTTAGGTCAGACGGAAACCAAGAAGGAAAACACCCATGCCCAAAGAGCTCTAATTCTACTTCAGAGTAACTAAGTATTTCACACACAAGAGGGTTAATAAGGAGATGGTACTGTCCTGAAGGTACACAGAGCTGTAACGTTTCTGTCATTCGACATACTGCGATCAGGACAGCCATACAAGCATTTTGAAGTGCTAAAGATCCTATACTGTACATTGCACTGCCTGTGCAGAGGGGGACACTAGAAAAACCCAGTCCCCTGTAGTAGCAGATTTCAGGTTTTTGCATTAGTTGGGTCTTGCAAAGCAGAACAAATTTCAAACATTTACATTATTTCCTTTGGGGAAACATTCAGCCAAAGCTGAAAACATCAGTGCAGTGCCAGGACAGGATAGGGAAATAAACACTTAGTTACTGGTCTGAGCCCTGCAAAGACCCCGTGATGGCCTGTGGCCACATGGAAGTATGTCCATCTCGTGTGTAAAACAGCTTGGGTCTCTGAGGGAGCTCAGTATTTTGGTCTTAGCTTAGGCAAAAGGAGACACTCTCCTGCTCCTAGTCAGTTCCAAAGACCCTTGTGCAAGCAAGAGGAAAGAGGAGCATTACAGAAAGGGCAAAAGCACATCCTAAAAATCTGCTGGCCAAGGACTCAATGGAGCTGCAAGCCAGAGAGGAGTGTAGCGCACACCGAGTCATCTGGTGCTTTCATGGAAAGGAGGTTCCTCATGCTCTCAGAGGGAAGAAAACTCCTCCCAGCCATTTAGCCCTTAACAGAAATAAGCATTCATCCCTAAACTACATTTGAGTTCACTAGCCCTTTTCTGTTATTCAGTATTATCCACAAAAGAGACATTACTGTAAGCAGAGGGAAAGGCAAAGCACATAGGCAGCCAGGAGACCAGGCTCAGAGAGTGCTTCGTCTCTGCAGGACTGAAGAGCTGGGAGCTCTAATGATCACCTGCCACTCTGCATATGTATTTGAAAGATCCACTTTGCTCTGTACTGTTCCCAGCTCATGTAAAAGGGTTGTAAGAGCCTTTTTGGACAAGGAATCTACTGCTTGTTAGATAAAGTTCTGCATCCTGAACAATTATAGCACTGCCAAAATGCCAGTATCAACTATAAAATAACATGATACAAATGAGTAGATAAACCAGTAAACTGGGAAAGGAGAAATGTAGAATGTAAAGAGTCTGCAGACCCCCACCAAGACAGAGCCTGGATTAGGCTAGATGGAAAGCTTTCTGCAAAAGCAAAGGAAGAGCTGAACACCAATACTCTCAGACTGTGCTAAGGACAAGATGTCTTAGGGGCTACAAAAAATGAGATATTGTCCAGAGCAGTGTAACAACTTTTTAAACAACAAAAGGGGTGAAATAGCATCTCCTACTCTATCTTTTAGAATCAAATGATTACACTGTTATTAACTTGCATGATGCTAAAGCACATCCATAAAAAATGAAGCTAGTGTTCACCAGAGCAGGAAAACGGATATTTGTATTGGCTTTAAAATGCCCATCTCCAAAACCCCAAAGTCACATACCTTTCCATAACAGCCAGGCACTCCTTTCTCCATGTGAACCGACTGCCTCGCCGTAGTCTGAAGGTCCCAGAGGTAGCTGTGACTGGGGGAGGCGTCTGTCTCCATTCTGGCTCTTCTATTGGGATAGGAGCGGGTCTCATGCTTAACGTAGCCCCTAAGAATAATAAATACTGTGTTTCCTAGTGGATTAAAAATCATGCCCATTTTCACACTCCTGCTCATGAAAAAAAGACAAGACAGATGATGAAACCATTCAAACTAAAAAAATAAAGCATCAACAAACAAAGACACCTTAAAGATACACAAAGCCAGCTAGAGTTCCCACTCCCAACCTCCAAGCCAGAGAGGTATCAGGTGACCATGGAAATCTAAGGGAGACATGACTGAGCTGACAGCCACTTAGGAAAAGTTGTCCTGTCTTCATCAAGAGGAAAAATGTCTTACAGAAAGGGTGAGCTATGCCCCAGCTGAGATTTATTTAGGTTGTGCTACTACCTCTTCTGCCTTAAAATGGGAAATAGCATGTTTCTATTTAATTGTACAGCAGTCTCAGGAAGCAAAATGTAAATCTATACCAAAGGTATTTCAATGTGTCTGAAGAGCTGAGTAAACACGAAGTAGCTCCACCTACAGAAACACACCCTGTGACCTGTGCAAACACGGGCTCCTGAGTGCCAGGTTGCCTGAAAAAGTCACTGAATGCAGATTAACAACACACCTTTCCTCTTCTGTCCCCCTTCTATGGATATATTTCTCCTTTCAAGAAGCCTGAGCTGGAAAGCATCAAGCAAGAGACAGGACTTGGCAAAATGCCTTCAGGAAAGGCCCTTTGAAACTTACCCCTGATTCTTTTCACAACAGCCTCTCAGTTAATAAATCAAGACACACTGGGAGACTGATCTTTCATACATCCCTTGGTGAGGATGGGAACCTGGTATAGGACATTAGTACATAAAACAGGGTATGTTCTGAAGGACAGCTTTCTGCTCAGTGACTTCCCCTGGAGGGAAGAAATAGCTGTTCTTGTGTGCAAAAAATAAAAAAAGCCAGTTGTATCAAAAGATAAATCACGACCTATATCCCATATGCATACTGAGTTCAACTGGAATTCATGCACTGAACCAGCCTGGATAGATCCAAGAGAAGCAGGCAGCTCTGCTCACAAGAGGAATGTAGTATTGGGCATACGTAAAAGCAGGGCTGAGACAGCAAATCCCTCTGGGTACACAGACTTGCTCTGAATGGTTAGGATTTAATCATAAAAATATACTGTGTTAGTGAAACAACACTGCTTGTTTTATTTAAAACAAGGTAAAAGGGTTAAGGGAACTTAGAGTTTAATCAATAAACAAATTCCTACAGTCAAAAAGCAAGAAATTAGCTATTTATGCATTTGGCTGTGTTCCTTTCCAGAAGTGCACAATAAGTATTTTCCTTACTGCCAGGGGCTTGCATCTGTGTTAGGTAGTGGAGCCCAAAATAATTTTAAAATTTTACCTGGGAGAAGTCTATGGGAAGTGAAGCCCACAATCTCTGCCTTGCATGCACAATGGACGATGAGTCTTACTAATTCCCAGCTAACGAGCCTACACAGATTACTTAAGTTTTATTGACATATGAAATATTTCCTATATTGCCAATTTATTGGGAGGCCATTTCAAGGCAAGATCCTTATCTACTCTTTCTAGTACATGCAAAGTTTAGGGGTCCGGGTCAGTATCAAGTTGCTAGGCTTTAAATGCTCTTCAAAAACTAAAAAAAATTAAAAATAATTTAAAAAGAGGCAGGGGAAAATGCGACAAGAAATTAGCTTTCCCTGCAATGTCTTAGCAATATACTTTCCCTACCTGATGATGTCATGTCACAGGGAGAGTATAGGAATATCAGTGATACCTAACATCAAGGTAAGAGATGCAGAGATTTTTCAGACAAAAGTTGAAAAAAAATCTGCATTTAAAGCATAAATTTGCTCCTGCTACTGATATGTTCACTTACTGAATATAAGATGCTTTTTTTGTTTTAGTAGCCTTGCTAGATCAATTCACCTATTTCTCTTTTCTATGGGATAACATCAATGTCAGCAGCAGATAAGAGAGAAGTATGCTGAGAATTACAAGCAAGTACCCACCACTGTTTTTTGCATACACATAAAGATGGAAGCATCTGAATGCCTACAGAGGCCCAAAATGCGCTTGGATCTATGAGCGTCAAAAGTGGTGGATGTATGCACTGCTGCCACATTTGATAGGGTAACTATGGACCTTTTCTTCATCGCCCTCAATTAAGTGAGCACTTGGGGATCCCGTTTATTCTGCTATTCCAATGCTTCACTGCAATATTCTCGCCACCCAGCTCCACTTCTTTACAACTTAATAAGTTACATCCTAGTTACTAGGTCAGATTCTTTTTCCAAACCCCTCAGCTTTTAAGAATAAGTGAAACCTCTCTTGAGCAGCATGAGCAGAGCAAATGCAGTATGAGATTTTCATCTTAGTATATGCATCAAAAAGCAAGACTTCTATAAGGGGTAGAGAGGTGAACCATCTGGGAAGAACTCCTTTCACAGAGAAAAATGAAAAACGACATCTCTCACTACCTGCCAGTGCTGAGTACCTTTTGCAACTATACAGAATTTTCTTTGTGCAAGCTAGCATTTTCTCAAATGTGGGATATGACTTCGGGGGTGCTGCAGGTGGGTCTTGGGGAGAGAGGGAAAGAGCGGTGCTCTCCAACTGGAATGCAGCTCTCTCTCTGTACGCAGAATTCCTCACAGCAAAGGCCTGCCTTCTCTCAGCACATCCCAGACACTATCCTAAAGAAAGAGCACTGCTCTTAAAAGCATCACATGCAATTGCTGATCCGCATCACATGTCTCCAAGAGGCCCTGCCATACAGGGGTGATGTGCAGAATGGTTGGAGCAAGCCTCAGGCCACGTCCCAGCTCCACGAAACCATTTAGTAGCAAGCCTTTGCAGCAAGTACCTATCATATATTATACTGATAAGAACAGATGTCACACTTTATTTTTAGCCAGACTGACCTGAGATCACATGATAAACACCCTTCAGTTACTACTGAGCTAGGCTAGATTTGAATCAGCAGCCTGCACAGCAAAAGGTTCCCTACAGAGCTCATTGCTTGGATGGAAAGGATCAGAGCAGGGACTATTTTCTCTGCGGCTCTGTAAGATAGTAAATCACCAACAACACGTTTCCAGTGCAAATCTCGTGGGATATCCAGCCCCTGATTTTTTTTTTTTTTTTTTTTTTTTTGTAGGCTTTTCTTTTATAGCTAAACAAGAACTGCTATGGGAATAACACAAGAGATGCTATATCTTGATAATAACTACCTTTCTTTTTCCCTTTTGTTCAAGGAGGAAGAGCACATGGTTTTCTCCAAGGTGACCATAGCTGCCTTCCTATTACAGAAGACTGGCAGAAATAAATATCCAGCCTAAATGGAAGCAGTCTGTATCCATCTGTAACTTCAACACATCATTTCTAGGTGCTGGCTTCAGTTTGCAGTACACAGAGTCAAAAGACATGCTAAAGTCACTCCGTAACAAACCTTCCGCATTGCCCAAGACTTAGTGCCAGCCAAACTAATCGGGCTAACAACTACCAATGTAAAAAGAAGTATTTATTTATTTATTTATTTAAAACCCATGGGCTCTGAAAAAATAGTCAGAACATTAAGGGACTCTATGCACTCATATACTGGCTTCTGAAACATATACTATTTATCTACTGCCAAATTGCTCTCAGTCCTCTACAAAACACAAGACATGTGGTGCCTGTCCGAAAAAAGCTCAATCTAAATGAAAAGCATCCCTATTAATTGGATTAAAGATCTTTCAAACACTAGCATTTAGCATTGACTTCTTCCCTTCAACAAAAAACTGCCTTTCACCCTAATTGGAGGCTGTTTCCAGAAAAATTTACAATCACTAGCACGCTGGAATTCACAGCATTGCTATTAATTCCGACATCACTCCTACCAGGAAAACGTTGATCAAGAGATTTTTGAGCAAGATTATTGCATACAGTAGGAAAAGGGGGGGGGGGTGGTGTTTCTGATCCATGAGACTTAACTATCTTTTGCAATGTTCCAGTCTGCTGTTGTCTGAACACTCGCCACCAAAGATAGGAGAAATACAGAAAGTACCCATGCAAATAGGCAATCAAAACCAAGCGAACAACAAACAGCATATTCAAGAGGCCAAAGCAAGCTGGCAAACAACAAACATGATGGAATTGCTGAGTCTCTTCTGTATAGGAGCAACAACATCTAGTAACACCTCAACAGCAGCAACATCTCAAAACTGCCATAAGGCTGCACAACACAAAGTTCTTTGGTTAGCAGATGCAGGACTGCTTGTGGATGATTTAAAGTGGTATATAGCACCATTATACCTTTGAAAAAAGAAAAATAAAATCTCTTTTGATGTATTTATAAGTCATCTTTTGTCCCCCATATTATTAGAAACTCCTGGCTGGGTGCAGTATATAAGCATAGTAAAAGACAGACCCTGCTATGAGGACCTTACAGGCAAGGTAGGCAAGTCATACACAGGAAAACAGTCTCATCTTTATCCTGGAGATGGGAAAATGAAGTGCAAAGGTGAAGTAATTTGCTAAGAGTCGTACAGAAAAACTGGCAGAGCCAAGGAAAGACTACAGGTCTGCTCAGTGATCTCCAGTCCTTTCCTCACGGAACAACTGTTCTTTCTCAACAGTTCATAAATTGATTATATCTGGTGTCCTAGTCCTTCAAAACTGCTTCAGTTTTGAGCGAAAGTTTTCATTCCATTACTACACAAACAAATTCAGTCAGAAAATGGACTTACTCTGAAGATCAAATTTTCCAAAATAAGGAATTAAAGAAATGGGGGAACTAAGAGTTCCCAAAGACTTCACTTTGCCCATTGTTAACTCAAATGCGTAGGTGCTTCTGTGCAGAGACCTGACTCTATCACTCGAAGAAGGATTGAGATTTTATTCCCAGCAGCTGGAATTGGAAAAGATGGGATATGAGAACAGAAAGCCAAATGTCACTTTCTAGTAAGTAAGTGAATAGAAAAACCACATGCCAGTCATTTAATCTCTTAAATTCCTTCAAAGGAGGACAATCTTTTACACTCTACAGAGAGTGCAGTGACAGCATCACTTCTTTGTGAACATGGCAGGAGGCTCTACTGATTTCCTCATTTTCTGACTCTGAAGAAGGCAGCAGAACAGCTAGTCAAGTCTACTAATCACAGGATACTGTAAGTAGTATCCAAAACTTAGGCTCCAAATTGGTTTTAGAACAGTAACTTAAATCCAGGATGCTCTGGAGAAGGTTGGTAACTCCCTTAATACACTGTATACACTTGCACATATGCATGTTAATTATCTCTTATCTAGCCACTCTGACCTGCAATATAGTAGATGGCAATAATTCAAAGCAGTGGATTATCCTACAATAAATAACACAACCATTTTCCTCAAGCAGACTTTTCCAACAGCTATGGGAAAACCGAGGGTTCCCCCCTTTACCTCAGACTCTAAAAAGAAACCAAATGTTACTTGGTCCTAAAGGGAACTTAAGTGCATCCAAATAGTCCCTTGGCATACGCAGAGAAGCCATCTTGCCTTTTACACTTCTTAAAAATTCTGTATAAGATCTCTCGTTTGAAAAAGGGTTAAACTCAAACAACCACTTTTCAAGAAATTTTTCCATGTGTATAAAGAAAAGAGAACAAGACCTCAGCAAGACAGTGCATCAGAAAAATAGAGGTTAACATCGGTTCATTTCAATTTAAGCCGTAACCTTCACAGTTGCAAGTCTTCCTTCCTTAGACACTTCTCAGGAGCAAAAGGACGAACAAGATGTGAGCTTGTGGATATGGGGAAAGAAAGGTTAAGAGGAAGAAGTAGATATTTCAGTGCTAAGTTTGACAGAATACTAGCACAGAATACTATTTCTTAAACAGCTCCAAATGATATTGGCAAGAAAAGATGCAAGGCTATAGGAAAGAGCCCTGCAACAGTTTTCATTGTTAGGAGAGGACTTTTGGTTTTTTTTCCAAAATACACCTTCAAAAAAACCTCTATTTCTCTCCACTGTTTTGGAGGCAATACCTTCCATCAAAGGAAAATGGCTGAGAGTTACTTTGTAGAGTACAACTTCAGGTTTTCAAAGCAGCTGATACTGAATGGTTGTATCCAGTAACTTTGCTGATCCTTAGTATCACAATTCCAGCCACTGCAAAATCAAGTCTTCTTGGCAATCCCTGCAGCTTGCCAGCACTTCACAACCCTTGGCACTTTAATTCTTTAAAACAGTTTTCTAGATGCTTAACAGAAAGGACAGGCTTGGTTGTCACTTTGAACCCACTCAACTTTAAGCTAAAGTATTCTCAGGCCAACTGACAGCTGGAGCCTCTTGATTTTCAGCTTACACACAGAGCAGAAGTTTTTAGGATCTGTTTTCACTGGAATTTTTCTTAATAGAATTCTGGATATTGAAGCCAAGTTCACATAAGAGAGCCTGAGTCTTAAATTCTTCAAAACAGTTACACAGTTAACTGAATCATGCCATTGTTTAAAGGAAATTAAACATAAATATTTTGATCTTTACAATAAAACTGCTAAAGGGAAAAATAACTGTGGTCAAACAAAATCTATGGAGAAGAACAATGCAAGGAAATTAATTCAACTGTGATTTTGAAGATTGCTGGTTAGTTAAAGATAATAAGGAGCTTTACTCCTCTTTTTAAATTTAAGATCTGTTTTGAGATTTGGAGAAGCAGGTGGGATTTGAGAGACACATCTCCAGCTTATCACTGTAACTATCAACATCCTATCCATGAGCTTGAGATCCAACCCAAAACCCTCTGAAGTTATCCCAAAGTTCCTCTCTGCTGAACCGTGTGGTTTTTGCTGCAACTTTATATTATGCAGCCATTATTACTGTTTTCTATTTCTTCATACTGAAGAGCCTCAGCATTTATTTCATGTTAGCTGACTACAACTTCACTGACAGCTTCTGATTCCCAGAGTTAACTAGCGGTGAGAGGACAGGGCAAGTAACCGTGACCGAGGAGCTGGATAGACTGATATGGAGGAGTCAGCTCTAGATCATTTGCTGCAAAGCAAAGTGCAGATTTGTTCCTACCCTCCTAAAAAGTAAACTGGTCAGAGGGAATACCTCTACAGTACGCCAGACCAAGAAGTGAATGATCAGTGATAATACAAAACAGCGACAAAAGGCTTCTTTTCCATAAATAAATCAGCAGGAGATGTTTAGGCTGTATTTGTTTACCAGGATTTGTCTTCTCAAGCTGGTACCATCTGTAAAATGCCCTTTTCTTTTGTTCACTCAGGTCCGACCCCTGCTGCAACAGCCAATGGGAGATCCGGCTCTGACTGATACCTGTAAAAATACAGAACAAAACAAAAACAAGACAGAAAGAGGAAGAGAAAACTTGTTCTTTTTAAAATATTTTGAAGTGGTTTATGTACTGATAAAAGGTGTTGTCTTACAAAGCCCAGGAACTAGCAATGTTTCAATCACAGAAAAAGTAGAGAATTCAAGTTTCCCCACCCTGTCCCTAACTGCTTTAACTTCTCCCTGCTGTTATTTTCGACCTTACTGAAGGTACATCCTGCAACCAGCAAAATCAACCTACAAGCCAAGAGGGTACAAACTGGGAAGTCAAATCTACCACTGACTTAAATTGCCCACAACTTCCCCGATTCTTAAATTTCTTCACCCGTGAAATGGGAACAAGTCCCCTACCCACTTTTTTATATATATATATATATACACACACATATATATACAAAAATGATAGTTAGGAGATCATTATCATTCAATGCTTGAGTAAGAAGGGAGATAAACATAGAAACAGTTTATATGATATAGATTGAATCAGCCCAGAAATGGAGCAAGCCAACTATCAGCAGCTATAACAACGGCTAGGAAAACAAAACAGGAAGGGCAGCTGTCTGTCAGCAAAGCAGGGTTCAAGCTCTAGGTATCCAGGCAAGATTAGGGACAAAAAGTTCCAGAGTTTTTAAAGCAAGACTTCTAAGAAAACAGTAAAAGGGGGAAAACCCCTAGAAGTTAATAAAGCTATTTCCAAAGCGTGACATTGAATGAAGAATCGATGCAGAAGGGGAAAAGAAGTGATCAGAAGGAGAGGAACCAAATAAAGCAAAAGGTTTAAAAGTGCACTAGGAGATGAACTGCAGATTCATTTGAAAACATCAAAAAATATATAGTTTGCTGAGTAACTGAAGCAGTACTTCAGGTAGGACTCCCTGTGCTTTCCACAACGGTCTTCAGCTATCAGAAAGGGTTAACAACATCTAAACTCTCCTGAGAACTAAAGTTTTAGGAGGTGCTCCAAGTAACAATATACTGCTGAACACCACCTGTGCCACCACCTGCTTGGTGGTAATACTGAGGCAGGTAGAAGGCTGGTTTTCACACAGAAACCAAACTACCTCTCCCCTCTTGAGATGCATCAACGTTTTATAAGATCTCATAATCATATTTAACTCACGAAAAACAACCCCCTGTAGTCTTACCACTTCTAATACAGGGGTTTTACTATGCTTTTTTTTTTTTTTTTTTTGCATTGAACACTGAAGCTAGTTAACTTTAGAATGATTCGACTTGACTCTCAGGTATCATATTCAGGTGGGTTTACTCCAACTGGATTTTTAAAATCACAGGGTTTATGCTCTTAACTGTTATTCCTTACAGAGAATTCCAGAGCCTATGAAGTTTTAATTGTCCTGGGGAAAAGGGATAGGTGTGTTTTGTTTCAAGTACAGAAGCTTACTGCTATTCAACAGAGCTTTGCCCACACAACACACCCTGGTTTGGTTTTGCTTCGTGTACATCTATTGATCTTCTTAACGCCCGTTCCCAGAGACTGCCTTTGCTCCACAACTGAAAGAGTTCAGAAACAGCTGGGGCAGTCAAGAGTGGACTACCCCCAGGGCCCACAATGGGAAATATAACTGAGTTTGTACTACTAAGGAAGTAGAATTATTCAACCAAACACACATCTTAGATTCTGCCAAGTTTACATGAAGTAACTGTGGAAGCATACAAGTTAATACCAAAAGAAGTCAATCTAAGTTGATAAAACTCTCTGGCCCCAAACAAGGCTTCAGTCTACTTGAAATCAGGCAATCTAGAGGCCTGATCACCAGTGAAAAGACCAAGTTTTGAAAATTTGCAGTTCTTCATCTACCATTATGATTTATAAAAGCCATTTCTTTAACACAGTGCTGTGGGACACAAATGTTTGTGTCTTACTGCTTTTGGCTGCATGGCTCCTATTAATCAATGGGTAACAGCACCATTAATTTACTTGTTTACTACAGTCCACTTACACTTATTGCAGTGAATTACTGTTTGTTGAGTGTTTGGATAGCAACGTAAGATAAAAATGCAAAGCATTATTAGATAAAAATTATAAATAAAGATTAAGTATCTTCAACAAGAGTCATACAGCGGAAAATGCGGAAAATCCAAATTCTGCTCAAGAGGCTGCCTGATACTGTCATAAAGTGGTACAGATGTTAGCCACTTCAGACAATGTGCTCAAAACAAAGCAAAGGAACAGGAGCCAAAAGATTCAAGCTGTGTATTGCCATGTCCACATTTGACTCATTTCGAGTCCTCACAGTTTATAAAAGTTGCTTCAGCAAAATGGAGCTTTGTAAAGGACACTGAGATGTACAGATTTAACAAATGCACTATAAATTCTCAGTACATTATTACTTGAGTACAGTATCTCATGAACGGCACTGCAGTCCATAGCATTTTTTCTTGCATTAGCAAAAAGCCCACAGCCCATTTTGCTCTTTGGCTAGCAGACTTCTATAGCAATGCTGCAAACCCAGATAACACGTCAGATATGGCTTAGGCAGCTGATCTAGGTTTTGGTCATAGGAATGTAGTGGATGACCTCTAGAAGACCCTTTTAAGTTCCATTTCCTATCATTCTTTGCTGTGTTTTATTATTCTGTTTCCTTGTTTCAGAGATCTGTAATGACAGCTAAGCTTCTTGAAGGTTTCCTCTACCTATACCACTTTTTAAGATATAAAATATCTTTCATCTGTACCTCAGCTCGGTTTAGAGGCCCAAAAACTGTATATTCCAACAGCGTGTCTGATTCAAGGTCACATGCAAAGTCCATAGCAGAACTGATCCAAGATCTCCTAGATCCCACTACAATGTCTTAATGACAAACCCATCCTCTACTCCTTTCAATGAAAAAAACCCAAACCCCCAAATTGTCATGTCAGTTTCTTGCATCTCAAGTGGGTTTTACATAGGGACAATGACTAGTACTACCACCAGCACCATCCTGTCACATTGCCTGTAATCATGCTACTTTAGGAAATTGCACTGGCAGGAAAAAGAAATCATCCTGCTGCCAGAAGCAGATTAATGAAGTAAGTTCTCTGGAGTACTGAAAATCCAGCTGTCTTGAGGAAATTGACTCTCAAACTGAACCACAGACCTCAAGGAAGACTGCCATCCTCTGGGCTCAGCATCAGCAGGGACACAAACACATTGTAATGAGCACAACTACTTTTCTCACAGAAAATACTGAAGAAAGAAGTGGTAATCACAAAGGATTATAGCAATTCAAATGTTGACTTCTTGTGTCACACGTCACTCCTTCCCATAGCAGGTTACACTTCCTAATTATAAACAAAATGGAGATGACAGTACACACATGCTCTTCTGACCAGCCCCATTCTCTCCTACATAAATCATTTGGGGAAAAAGTTTCCCTTTCAAATACATAGAAGAAACGGCAAAATGCATCTTCAAGAGAAGGCAACTGGTATCTGCAGTACAAATCTGCTCATATCCCTCAAAACCGCTATTCATCAAGTCTCTGGTAACTGGTTTTCACCTTCACAGATTTGTTCAGCGACTCTACTTTGCATTTCTTTAATGTTTCTTTCAGGAGAGATTTTTAGAAGCACCTGGAATACGTCAGATTTGGAGAAAAAAGTGACTGTGTTTTAATTCTTCAGTTTGTAAGCAAAGTCCTAGATTTATATAAAACATGCTTGCAAAGGACATCTATCAATTTAGGAGATTAGCAAAGCTTGTTTACAGAAAACCTGCAAAGATCAAAATCATAGAAAAACAAATCTTTGCCTGTGTTGTCATGAGTATAAAAAAATTTAAAAAAAGGAAAATGTCTTTCAAAATCCAACTTCTTGCCATTTCAGATGATCAGTAATTTTCTGAGTTCTCTTCACAATGGAACTAGTTAAGTTTCGCTTTGTTTGTATTTGCATTTGCTCAGCATCCCTGTGTGTAAGTTCCAAACCTTAAGGGATTTTATTTATGTTACAGCAGTACTTCAAGGCTGCCCTCCACTGCGCTAGATGCTGTGTGTGTTTAGCATAATATAAAGCTAAGTCCTCAAGATCTCCTATCAATTAAGACAGAGACAGTAGGACAGGGCTCAACTGTACAAGCAGAGTAATTGGGAAGGTTAGCAGAACTGCACACTGGAAAGCTCTATATGCTATGTATGTAAAAAAAAAATTACCTCTGCATTTTATTGTTGTCGATTATTTTTTTTTTAATGGTGGTTTTTTTTTTATGGGTGGTACTAGCCTAAGAATTGAGAAATCTGAATTCAAATTCCTGCTCTGCAACAGACTGCTTCCACTGTGACCTCAGGAGAGTAAGGGTTTTTTTGTTCCTTCACCCCCTAACTGTAAAAAATGGAAAAGGTACTATTTCCAAACCTTGCAGAGGCATCATCCATCAAAGCATTTAGCCAGGCTGCAAAGAGCTCATCTATGTATACTCCTCCCTCTCTCCTTTACTGTAGTACATAAGAGAAAGATGTTAGTTTCTGAAAACATTTCCCCTGCCCTCCATCTACATCTGGAAGCTAGAAGACAGCATCTCTTAATAAGTTTACATTTATCTCTTTATCCTTTGCCTTCTGACCATAACTTACTTGGTACTCAGATACAATTCTGGTGGCAATTAAAGCAAATTGCAGCACACGACTTCAAATTATTGTTGATAAAAATTTGGCTTCTCACCTGCCACATGTAGGGATAAATACCTACCCCCGAGTAAGCTGCAGCTATGTTAAAAGGAGCTTCAAATAACAAGATAGGAAATTCAGCAGGAACTATTATTAGCTCCTGTTTATACTGTCATTTTTCTTATCAGTAGGAGATTATTTATAAAGAGCCCAACCCAAGTGCTTCTTGTTTATCTTATTACAGACACTATTAAAAAAGTTTCTATAAAAAGCAGCCCCTGTATTTAGGACCAGCACTAATAAGTGTTATGCTAGGTTTTTGCTTCTTATCAATCATTCCTTTATTTTCAAGTCAACATTTAATACTCTGTTACTATTTTCCAATCTGCCATCTTCTCCTGGTACACAAGGCAGCCCTGTAGAATGTCTTCCAGGTTTAATTTTCCCTGTCAGATTCATTATCTAAATGACTTAAAGTTTCTAGTCATTTTATAAAGACTAGGAGATCCTAAAAAACTGTTCTACTGCAACAGCTGACTTTAACCTTCAGGTCCATGTTCCTCTCTCACGTATCCTACCCCTCCATCACCTCCCATCCCCTTGCGCTGCAGCACAGGAAAAACAGAAGGAAAAGCCATTTACTGTTGCAGAGTCTGTAAATACAAGGCTGCTCCCTGTGCTTTGTAGGACTGTGGCGGATGTAGGAATGTGTATTCTATAAATGCATTGCACTATTAGAATTGAGAAAAAGGAGAAAGACATTTTTGAATTAAATGCTAAGTGGCTTGAAGAATTAGCGAAATAAGGTAAAATGGAAGTTTCAAGGGGCAGAAGTTGCCATAGAGGTTCGTGCACCAAGGACAGAACACAACAAGATACAGAATGGGGACAAATACGGTCATAAGCACAGAGGAAACATTATACTCTCTCATGAGCTAATCCAAGACCTGCCGTCTGAAGACATGCAAATACATTGTTTTAGCTAAAGTCCATCACTTATATATCCAATTTGGCCACCTTCAAACCCAGCCATAATTAAGAGAAGGAAGCAAAGTTTTAGGTTCCTAGTTAAAGGTCTAACATCACTGTTCAGATGCACTATTAGTCCTTTCCCCTCTTCATGCCATCCTCCCCTCCCATTACATACACACACACAATTTTTCAGAGTAGTAAAGAACTTAACAGAGATTAAAAGGAGAAAGTTGACAGCATGGATAGGCAAGCCAAAAAACTCTCCTCCTGGACAGAGCCAGCCATAAATTTTTTGTTTCTTTCTTGCCTCTCGTCCCAGGGCAGAAGACATGAACACTAAAAGCTGAGGCCATGCTATTCTGCATTTATCTCAAGTATTAAACAAATTACTTCCCAGCTGATGCAGGGTGGTAGCCAGTGGATGGGCAAGTCAAATATGCCCAACATCTGCCCTACTGCCTCCAGAAACAGCTTGCTATGTTTGTACTACGACAGGTGATGGAGTCTGTAAGCACACCAGCCTCTGTGGGCTGCTGATCTGTTCTTGCAGAATTGCCCCATTTCATGCTCTTTCACAGCCTCTTCATTGGCCAGAATAGGCTGCCACCCTGATGTGCAAAAAAATAAAGAGGACCCTGAGACAAGGATCACTGGAGCCTGAACAGTATTTTGGAAAGGTATCATTTCACTCTTAGGATCCTCCTCTATGCCATTTGCTACTAACCACTCTTTGGATTTTATTAATCTATTTTTCCTCTTGTTTACGGAATTATTTACAGAACAGCTTTATCAATAAGACTAAGTCTGTAAATGCTGAGATGATACCGTTTGGGAATCATACATTCTGCAAAGCATTACCTCTGTCTATGCAGACTGCTTTTTTAATGAACCAAAAGTGGTTTCCAGGCCTTCCTTGAGAGCCCGTTTCACTGATGAATGGGAAGGGATGCTGGATACATCTGAAGAATACACAAGTCAACTAGCACTCATCAGGCCTAAGACAACTCTGGAAGTGAGAGCCCTAGGACACGTGCTTTCTGCTCTGGATCTCTGTCCCGAGCTATTTTCAGTCACTCTTCACCATACCGTGCTTTTGAAAGGAAGCTGATGTTTTTCCCTGGTAGTGTTCAGCACACTCTTTAATCTGGTCCCTTCAAACATCTCTTTGAGATTTACTATTTCTTTCAGATAAGCCATAACTACATACTTAATAGTGGCACATAAGTACTATGCATCTGCTTACACAAGGCTATGGGTTATATTTAAAACGAATCAGCTCCTGTAGACCTTCCCACCAAGCATATGGAGGATAACACAGTTCAGCTGCAAAGGGTAGTGGAGGAAGAGACTGGTGCATCACAGTGTAGCACAAGCCTTACAGCTATCTCTGCTTGAGAAACTGCATCATGTGCAAAGTACCACTGTCTTTTCTTATTTGAAAGGTCCATGAAAACACTACTGGGTGAGCTTCAAAAGAATGTAGCCATTTAGCCTTTAGATCTACCTGGTTTCCCATTGTTTTGGCTCGAAAACAAGGTAATAACACAGTGCCATTAGTTCAGTCTTCGTTCTGTCCCACTGACAGGCTTGAAAGAGATATCTAGTAATATTTTCTCTGATCACTGTGTATGTTCTGGATTCCCTGCCATATTACGCAGGTAGGTTGAGTGGGATGAGTGTGAAACTTAGTCAACCATTTATGAAGTGGATGGTGTCATTTACTTACAGGAGGAACAGCCTGGCAAACAATGAGAACTCCCAAAGGCTAAATGCCAACTTAATGACTTTAGCAACTGAAATCCAAGCGAGTAGGTTGAGGATGAAGGAGCAAAATGATCAGGTGTGAAGAGACCAGTCTTGACTTTCCTACAGTCTGCCTGCAGTGGTATCAAGACATGCACTGAGACACCTAGCTAAATATAATTAGATCAGCTCCTTTTAGTGATACAGACTCTGTCTTAGATTTGGTGTGGTGATTCTGATTCAACAGTCCTGCATGCAGTAGCGCCACTGACCAAAAATGAAATTATGGCTTGTTTTGGGAAGACTCTTTCTCTGCAATTGTTTCCTCTTTGCATTATTTCTATTGAAGGGGAAGCTAGTTTGGCTTGCTGGTAGATGTGAAGGGTGCTATACAGAGGTTAATTCAGAGATGGGTTATTCCAGGACTATATTCAGGCAAGGACTGCACAAAAGTAGGGGAGTGACCCACTAACTACCAAAACTTCAGAGTTCAGGTACAATTTGAGCAACTAGACTTAGCATTTAATTTTTTAAGTACTAGTGCTAACATCTGATAAGGCTAATAACATTCCTTAGAGTTACACAAAATGTTAATCTCATGATTTTACAGATGGAATTGAAACCAGGGAAGGACAAGTAATTTTGCTCAAGAACACAGAGAGGAGTGGAGACGTGGAAGGAATTCCTGGCTCCATGGCTCAAGCACCGTTTCTGCCTGCCTACCTCAACTGCTAGCATGTCTGCAAATCCAGATGTTGTAGACAGATGGGTTGTTATGAGATTTCAAGTACTGGAAATATCATAAAAGAACAACTTCCCTCCTGCTAGTTTGGCTTTCCCAGTCATCAAGAAACCTTAAAAACGATCTATTTCAAGATCTATATTCAAGCTTGAGTTAAAAAATGAGTGTTATAGGTATAACATGGGATTGAGCTATCTGTATTTTATCATCGAGTCTTCATCTGGATGCTGGAGCGTGTCCAAAGAAGAACAACGAAGCTGGTGAAGGGTCTAGAGCACAAGTCTTATGAGGAACGGCTGAGGGAACTGGGGTGGTTTAGTCTGGAGAAAAGGAGGCTGAGGGGAGACCTTACCGCTCTCTACAACTACCTGAAAGGAGGGTGTAGCCAGGTGGGGGTCGGTCTCTTCTCCCAGGTAGCAAGTGATAGGACGAGAAGAAATGGTCCCGAGTTTCGCCAGGGGAGGTTTAGATTGGATATTAGGAAAAATGTCTTCACGGAAAGGGTTGTCAAGCTCTGGAACAGGCTGCCCAGAGAAGTGGTGGAGTCACCATCCCTGGGGGTGTTTAAAAGACATGTAGACGTGGTGCTTAGGGACATGGTTTAGTGGTGGGCTTGGCAGTGCTAGGTTAACGGTTGGACTCGATCATAAAGGTCTTTTCCAACCTAAATGACTCTATGATTCTAAATATACTACCAGCTACGCTGCTCCGGACAAGCAGCGCGAGCCTGTAAAGGAGGACTAATAGCACCCCACTCCATGGAGGAGCAGCAAGACTTTGTTACTTTTTGTGTAAATCTCTGGAACACACCCAAGGAAGAAGTGGTATCCCTGCAGTCTGTTCACTTGTCACTCGAATGTGAAAGAGACAAGGCACAGGGTAGAGGGCAAAAAGAGAACTATTCCTCCTTCTAGGTAAAATCTGAGCTAATATGGTCATCCCCTCAACCTCACATCTGATTTTCATTAATCGTGCCTCAAAGGCAAATGATTGAAAAACTTCAAACTATCATAATCTGACTCCTGGATGTAGTGATACCAGCTATAGCTGTGTCTCCTGACTATTCACATATATTTTATAATATAAATACATATTATATCTCTCTCGCTTCGTACACAGAGATGCAGATACACATCTATGCCACACTCAACAAACAATTTAAGAATTAAGGAAAACCGTTTTCATTTTAAGATAAGAACTTCGGGCTTATTATAATGCTGTAAAATAAAATCTGCTAGCACAAGCCACAAAAAAAGAAAAAAAGAAAAAGTGATTCACTGGGGAAGTTCCATGATGTGCGGGACAATGGGTCTTAAATCAAAGGCATACATTATCATGACTAAGCTGACAGATCTGCACTGCAATGCAGAAAGCCAAGCAATATTCCAACATCTGCACTGTGCACAGATAGGCAGTTAGACACAGTTTCCCAAAATGAAGAAAGGACTCCCTGAGCTCTTACCTGTTACCTGTGCAACAACTGCTTGGGAAATTCTCCGATTGGCTAGGAAGGCTTTGATTTCCTCCTTTATCACACTGCTGTCCCTCCTATCAAAACAAAAAACAAAAGAACACACAAAAAAACGGACAGACCAAAGTGCACTTTGAAGATGCAAAATGGCTTTATTTCCTTTATTTAGGGGACAAGGAGTGGGGAAGGCAGGCATTAAAATAGTCAAAGTGCCTCACTGGTGGACACTTCTTTTAACAAGTGTCACGTTTGATCAAAGTACCCTAGCAGGAGAATGGATGACTCATGTCCTATATAATTCATATTAGGTGCAGCACTGCCATATGGAATGTACAAAGTTTCATTACACAGGGATGAATAAATCTCTCATACCAGCATAAAAACCTCAGTCATAAAAATGAGGCACAAAAATAAAAAATAAAGGATAGCAGGGTCTGCATGGTTAGCCACACAAATGAATATACATACACAAGCCTTCTCCAACCTTAAGGAACAGACCCAAAGAAGAAAAGATTTTGCAACCTCTATCCCCCCACCCCTACCTCCTTAGTCCACAGCTTGCACTGACTGAACAAGTGCCAGTTATTTAAAGCCTTTGTATGATTTTTACAAGGTGTGCAAAGATAGTTCAGAAGGGACCAAAACTGTGCTAAAAAGAAAATAATTTGGAGGTTGCACAGGGACTGTGATATGCAGCAAATTTCAATTGCAGTAAACTCATACTTTTCCCTCCTCTTCTTCCCTCCCTTCCTGAGAAGGGCAGACGATTAAAACCCAACTTTACTAGGCTTTATCATTTGGTAATTTCCCTTCCCCTTCTCCCCTCCTGCCCCAGCAGCATTCAAGGCAGATTCAAGCTTGCAAATGTAAATGCAAAATAAATGCTATGTTGTGGGTTCATTTTTATTTCTGTACCCAACACTCATCTTCCATATGCCTGCAAATAAAAGTAGTTTCAGTTTAAATAAGCACTAAAAGCACTACCTGAGACTTATTGCATAGGAACCCAAAACTCAAAGGAACGACTGAACTTCAGCAATGGGAACTCCAGCATACTGCTATACTCACCACCTTCCTGCATTACTCCATTATCCTGCAGCCAACAGTAAATGAAGTTGATCAACTTTTTCTTACTGCTCATCTCTAATCCTCTCCCCCAAAAGGCACACCTTTACCCTAAATCTCCAAACTACTGCAAACATATTTTTATCCTGGAGCTTATGGACCCTAGTTCTCTCATAGGTACTTCATTAATGTTGCAAATTTGGGGGGAAAAAAAGACATTCCAACATTATGACCAAAATTGTTTTGAGACATTTGGCCTTTCCTCTTACTTCTTTTTGCTATCAAGCCCACTGACTCTCGACTTTCATCCTCAGTCGTATAAACCCCTCTTTTCATCTTTGCCATAATGCTGAAAAGGAAGCTGCTAAAAGTAAAGGAAGGTCAGTCTGGAAAAAAAACCCACCACAACTGGCTCTCACTGAAGACTTCTGCTTCTTCTTTATTATTTGTGTTTTCCTATGCCAATCTGCACACTGTGCAAATCTTAGAGAGTCAGCCCTTGCCACAAACTATAAACAGATAACATACATGCTCTGCAGATCCCAGTGGAAAGCATTAACCAAGCAGATTCCCTACTCCTCCTATATATGGAAGGAAATACAACTGGTATGAAGTAGTGGAGGAAGAGCCATGTGAATTGACACTCAGTCAGAAGTCTTCTGAGTAAGAGTAGGGCGGAAAATTAGTGTACTAACATCAATTTCAATTTTTGGTACAGCATGGGAAAAAATATTTTGACAGTAAAACAGACTGTGGGATACCCCCACACAGCCAGAGGTTCACTACACAAGACTAAGAGGCAGGTGAGAGGTACTCAGATAGTGACCATTAGGGAACTAGCAGGAGAACAGCTGTCTAAAGCAGTTCCTGCTTTCTTGATAATACTTATCACTACTACAGCAGTACTCCAACATGCAGATTTCTTCTGAGGGACTTCTCACTCTGACTTTCCAAACTTTTTACAAAGACTTCTACTAACCTCATCAGTTCCTCCACTTTGTCATCAATGTCCAAGTCCTCTTCAGAAGCTTCAAAACTGTACGACCTTTGAGCCAAGCTGTTTGCAAGTGGGTAGCGGGTAGGTGACATCTTCCCGTTGAATGCAGACAACCTCTCGTTACTCTCCCTCCCGTTCTGATTAGTAGTGCAAGGCTGTGGGGAGGTGTCGTAACTGTTGCTTGGTGATGGGGACATCCCAGAATGCTGGGTCTGTGTTGAAGCTGTGGCTGTAGAGGAAGATGCTGGGACATTGTTGGTACTGTTGCTGTAGGAACCACCTCCGTAGCTAGACCTTCTTCCAAATTTGTCACTATGCTCTTGATCAAGACGATCCAAGGTTTCCAGCGCGTGGAGAATTTCATGTCTGGTCATTCCTGTACGTCTCAGGCGCTGAAGCAGGTCTATCTGCTCTATGGTAAATCTTGGTTCGTCTGTGTAGTGAGACATGGTTTCCAGCAGACTGAAAACAAGGTAAAATATAAAAGCAAATACTTCAGTTCAATAGGTCTCTGTGGTGCATGGAAAGTACCTCACCTGCAGTGAAGATCAATTCTGGTCCAAAACTTTAGGTCACACACATGACAGAGCTGACAGCCCAAAAGTCCACCTCCAAACAAACTCAGCAGGCAACGTCCCATGAATGCTAGTCTCACTATGTAGCAAAAGGGCTTATTTTTTTTGAAGTAGTCAAATAGCACTTCTCTCTTCTACTAGCATTCCCTACACCTTCTATAATAAACCTGCAGTTAGTACCCTTTTGCTTTTGATAAACCACTGCTACAGAGAGACAGTGGTTGCTCAGTAATTAAGGCTGCAACTTGATTTCAGACAAATTTTTGCCCACTGTAAGTATGCATGAGACAGAAGTCCCAGATTCCAAAACTGTTAGGTCAAGGCCAGACGCTGAGTTTTTCTGGAGAAGTTTTAACCAGTTATGACATGAGATTTATGACTCTCAACTCTTTCGAATCTTAAATACAAAGAGTTCAAGTTGCCCTAACTTTTTGTTGCTACCTTGAAAAAAAGAAGATAAAAACACACCTAGCGGAAATTCTAGTGGCCTGTAGGACCAAAGTTGATTTGTCTGAAGTCCCGTTTCTGAAGTTAGTAACTTTTGAACCTGGAATGTTGTCACAGATCGCCTGCCCTAACAAGGAAAGTGCAGCACATCCAATTACTACTGAGCTTTCATTTAAAGAAATAAGTCTACAGCCTTTTCCCCTCCAAAGGCAGGCTTCTCATGTAACTCAATCATCATGGTGGCTCATCAAAAGCATTTTCAAGTCCTAAACTTCCCAAAGTGCCAGAACAATGAACACGTATTTGCTGCAAAGACCAGAAATGGAACTGAAAAATCACAATATGCTCCCTTAATCTCTCTTCCTTCCTAAGTCTCCTCACTATAGATCCAAATAGCATACAAATGACAAGATCACCTCCTTCAGAACTCAATATCTTGAGAAGAAGGGATGGCAGATGGAGGGCAGACAGAACTTGGCAAAGAGATCAAGGCATTTTCCATCCTTCTTGTGAATCTTCTTATGAGTCAAGGGTTTATTACAATTCCTGCATGAGAGCAGGGTGAAGAGATCACTCAGACTCCAGGAGACATGACAGAGCTAAAGTACAATCCCTACAAGTGAGAGCAGGCAAACAGCAGCCTCGGGAAAGTCAAGTAAGAGTTCCAAGGACCCTATGAAAACCAAAAGAGGGATGATGGATGTCATGATTATGGTAGACCTTCCAGAGACAGGGCTGCCTACTTCTCTCCACAAATTTTGAAGATCACTCCTCATTTCCATTTCTGCATTGGCACAGAGAAATCCCCAACAGGAGCCACAGAGTGACAAAACTTTTTCAATTGCTGCATTTAGTCTTTTTGTCAAATACATGAAACACAGTAAACCAAGCCCACAGGTTTTGGGGGTGCAGCAAGGGACTCTCTTCAGAGGAGTAACATCTCACAACACAGACCTGACTAAGCAATGGTAACAGGTCTGTCCTTGAGTCAGAGGGTATAGCCATGTCAATACTAGCAAATTAAATAGTGCCCAGGAAGAGGCACCGTAGCATCTCCACACCATCATCTGCAGCATTATTAAATCATTGTAACTGTCTTTGGCACAGTTTTGGTCCAGCACAACCAGTGCACTCCTGACCAATCTGCAGGCTTTTTTCAAGATTCTGCATGGAGCAGAAACCACAAACACTCTGGCTGGATGCAGCCACTCGGTATCAAGGCTAAGAACGTCTGGTAGTATGGATGTGGCCAAGTGGCCTTGGGGCTGAAGAACAGCACAGAGAACTGGCTTGCTTAGCACAGCTGTAGCTAGAGTGTAGCTGCTACATACATGGTGCTACAAAGCCAGGATGCATGAATCCACAAAAATGGCATTTGCAGCCTGGAAAATACAGAAATAAGAAGCAGCTCTTATCTTTGGCTTCATCAAGCAACTATTGAGCCCTTTTCATTGTTTCAACAGTGTGCAGGTGGGAGGAGGAAGCAGGACAATGCAAGGGGATGACTCCCATCCAAGAAAATGACTATGTGAGAAGACAGACTGACTACAGCCATATAAGTGCTTCAGTCCAACAGGAATGTGCTGTCCTTTGGACAATTGATTACTGAAAACGTACAAGCCATTTTAAATTTTAGAAGACAAGCACCCAGATTATTCTACTAAAAGGAGGACACAGCAGCCAATGCAGCAGTAGACTGGCAACTGACTGGAATTGTAACAACTAAAATTTGGAAGTTGCATCTCAGACTGAGACGTTCAGAGCTTGACAAGGAGCATTTGGAAACAGACATTGTGTTCTAGGTTTGGCCTCTGTGTTGGGGGAGGCAGGGCTGCTCAGTCCTTTTCTCCAAGCTTTGTGAAAAGAGAAGTGTCACACTGACTTACTCACTCATACCACAAACTGCTGTACACCCTGAAAGCCCCCTATGTCAGGTCCAAGTAGCATGGTTTTAAAGTAGAAAATTGCTTCTTAAACATCTGGCCTTGAGATGTTTTCACTAGATATGCCAGCTTGCCTTTCCTTAGAGATAAACCCATTTTTGGCATTCCTTACCTGTATTTCTAATGTCACCATTTGCTGGATCATTTATCTGTCAACACCAAGTTTCATGTGCTCAAGTACTTTGTTGAACTGGGGAATTTAATGAACCACAACCTCCATCCAGAATTACCTCTACTCAAATTCCTACTTAACTGACTCTTCAACATTTAATACTAAAACATACTTTAGATTATCTAGTTTAATCTCCCATTTGTCACAGACCTAGAAACCCAAAACTTTTGACCTTCTAGCCTCGTGAACCGAAAAACTCGCATCTGACAAAAGCATGACTTTCCAGATGGTTTCAAAAATGTCAAGCAACACAGAACTTATCATTTCCTGCAGCAGTTTGTGGCCATGACCAGTAATTTCCTTTAAAATTTGGGTGTGATTCCTAATTTCTCTAAAATGTCAGGGCTGAGCTGCTAGATCTGGGTTCTTCAGGCCAAATTAATCTCCTCTGGTGAATTACACACAATCCTTTAGTGAATCCTAAGTATCCTTTGGTGAATCACAGATAATGAACTGCAGTGTTCTCAAGATGCAAAAGAAATGGTCAAGCTTCTGTCGTACATGGCTCCATGTGGGAAAGTGCTCTGGCCTCCAATGTGTCCCACTTTGATGCAGCGGGGACCTGCTGTGTACATGCAGTAATTTCCATCGCACAGGGATGCAAGGACTGCTGGACAAGGCCGTCCTCTGTCGTAAGAATAAGATATTTGATGACTTCAACTTGTGTTCTACCGAGTCCTGTTATATCTGTGGGCTGCAGAAAGTAATCTAGGAGTAGCAAACCTACTGTCAAATTAAGTCCATTATACTATGTTTAACACCATCACTGGAAAAAAGTTGGCAATTTGAAAAAAAAAACCAAAAACAAAATCAATGATTTGTCTGTCTCTCCATGGAAAATATTCTTCTAGCCCTCCAACCCTTTTAGACAACTTCTGTATAATTTTGCAATGCTTAAGAAGATAAGAACACCAAAATCAGACACAGTATCTCACTGCTGGTCTCACTAATGTCATATACAGATCTAAAACCTGCCTTGCTTTTGCTTACATACACAGCATATATTGCATCTGACATACTTCTTTACTGGCCTTCTTGATTTTGAACTCCTATTCACATTTTGATGTGCTTGTCTACAAAACCATAGGATCTAGAAACAATGCTTCTGAGTGAGTTTATATATGGAAAACAACTGCAAGAACAAGGAATTTTCCATTAAATACCCTAAACAAATATTGCAAAATGTGGTATTATTGAACATGTTCCAACATTGCCAACTATCTACTGCTTTTTAATGAATAACTACAGTAACATTATTTAGAACTGTTATTCTAGCAGGGCTTCAGTTATTTTCCCTTTTTAAAATATTTTAATAAACTTACCCTGTTTAAAGATCAATTTACAAAGCAGTTAAGTAAATCAGCCATTTTAGAATCATCACAATTTCATTCACCTCATTAATTAATGGATATTCTCCACTACTTCATCCCCCCCATATTGCTGTAAGAGCCTCTTATCCTCCAGAACTCCTCTGGCTAGCTATAATTCCATTTGCTTCCCCCCTCTTTTTCCTTGTGAAATACAATCAACTGCAAAAGTAATAAGAAGTAAAATAAGATAGGGACAAGCAGAATGGTTAGGGGTGTGCAGGAGAAAACAAAGCTAGCAAATACTTTTCCTGAGAACAAAGACTGTGGATCAACTGCTTTGCTGTAGTCAAAACTTTGGCAAACTTTGCTGCCAGTGTAGCAAAATATCCTCAACACTAGCAGATCTTAGTTTATAATCACATGCTCTATCTTCTGATCAGTTAGCAAAACTCTCACCAGTTACAATGGGCTGTCAAATTTCCTTGGGGAGATATCAGAAAAAGAGAGCCAACCAAGGCAGAATTGTCATGCATTTTTCCCCCTGAAATTCTGAAAGCAAGACCTCTGCAAAGTACTAATTAAGCTCAAAACTAACATTGACCAATTTTTTAACAACTGAATCTGGCCCTTAAAATGAATCAAGTTTATTTAGATCCTGACAGAAAAAAAAGGTAGCTTAAAGTATCAAACATATTTACATTTCTTACATTAAGGTGGCAGTCACACCCCAAGTGAGATGGACCAATTCCACGTACTGACTCTTGGTATCTATAAAGCATTAAAATTTCATGCTTATCTTTCGTGGCTCATCCAAAAGGAACCTGAGGTACCTGAGTATCAGATTGAAGGGAGAACCATAAGGAGCTAAATAAAAAAGAACTTATTTTCCCTCCCAAATGGACAGATATAAAATAACCAGCCGGTCTCAACCAGCCAGATGCAGCATCACTCTTTTTCACCTGAACACCACTTTCTGGAGTGAAGGCTGTTTAGGGGCATAACTGCTCTCAATACC